GTTTAGGGTTTAGGGTTTACTTCATGTAGGGGCCTTAATAACAATTAGAACAGGCTTTGGGGGGTTCCTTAGTATACTTATAAAATACGATGCACCAAAACCCTATTCTAATCATTAAGGCCTCTAAAATGCGGTTTAGTTAGGGGTTTTTTACCTTTTGAGGGCTGCAGGGCTTAGGGACTTGCTGCTCCTGGGGCTCCTGGGGAGACCCTCGAAAGAGTTAAACTCAGGGACCTCTTTGCTTTTCGGGGTTACTAATAAGGATTCCACGTTGATATGGAAGGGCTGCTGTAAAGTTTCTGCTAGAGTTTAGGATTTCGGGCTCAGGGGCTTTGGTGTTTTGGGTAAAGGGTTTTGGGTTGGAGAGGGTCTCAGATCCAATAGAATCGACACATCGGGCGAAGGGTTGGACGGCTCAACTGGTGGTTTTTAGGGGTTTAGGGCTTTTGCTGGTCTCCCCGAAAGCCCAATCGTAGACTTGCTTATTTAAACTTACCTATATTCCTAAACCCTAAACCCTACTGATTTAAACTTACCTAGTTTCCCAAAGAGTTGGCCTGTAAACAGATCCCGGTGAGGTAACCCTACACCCTAAACCCACGTGGCCTCCTTCTGCCCGCCGCCACCGAAGAGGTCGAAGCTTACGTTCTCTTCGTCGTCGCTTTCAGACTGCGGCCCCCCCGGAATCGGGTGCTTTCGGCACAGGATTCAGGTTTACTGGGTTCAGTTCATAAGCGCTGTATTGTAGGGTTTAGGGTTTAGGGTTTAGGGGTTTAGGGTTTAGGGCCTCACTGTGTTTGGACAGAGTTTGATCAGCCTCTATTCTTCGTGCTTTGTATAGGGTCTTGATTCACCGTTCATGATTGACCAGCACGACGGGTGTACATAGGGCATCGGGCTTCCTAACTAAGCAAAGAGTCAACGGCCCAACAACCATCACTTGTGGGGGCTTGAGGGCTGGGTCCCGTTACTACGTTACACGGCGCCCAAGTACCTGATCTGAGAATCTGATGACGCTGCAGGTTCGAACTACAGTCTATCCTGAGGCCTTCCTTGGACTTTGTACAAGCAAGGTTAAGGGTCTTGGGTTTAGCGGGCTAAGCACTGTCGGTGTTGAGGATGCTGGCAGCAATACTGCCGGTTTTGGCTGGCGTCCTCCTCAAGCGCACTCAGAATGACCATAATGGGTTTATTAAGTGAACAAAGACAACGATAAAAGTCTCAATAATAAGAGTAATGACCAGGATCGTCATCGTCTTCGTCGTCGTCGTCGCTCTCCTCCTCCTCCTCCTCCTCTCTTCCTCCTCCTCATCGATATCATCAACATCACTGAGTCACTACCACGGAAGCGGAAGCATCAACAGCAACAAACTCGGCATCATCACAAGCATCACGCAAATGTGGCCTACATCTGGCTTGGGAAATTCCAACACTGAAACGTTGCCCCTGCCTGTACGCTTTGGGGCTACAGCAATCGGATACCGCAGGAAAGCCGCACCCGGCCGATCTCAACGACGAACCCTGATGCCGGCGCACCTTCTTGCGCCCCGCTTTGGCCGTGGGTTTGGCTTTTTCCTTCTTCCTTAGCAGCTTCGGGATTCTGGCTCATGTCCACTATTCAGGTTTAGGGCCACAGTCTAGGGCTTCGAATTTCATGAGTACTGGGTTGGTCAATAAGGATTACCACCAGGGTTGCTTTTTCAGGGTTACTCTATGGACCACCATAAGGAATATCGTCATTTTGTCATGGCTCCCCTGATAAAGCACACTCAAAAATAGCCTACCCGTGCAGGTTTAGGGGTTTCGGGCCTTAGGGTTTTAGGGGGCCCTACCAGTCCAAAGCGGATCAGCTCCCATCCCACGACAGTCTCAATCCTAAACCCGAAACCTTAAACCCTACCCGCTAAACCCCAAACCCTACTGAACCTTAAACCTTAAACCCTTTAAACCCTCAACCCCCCTAAACCCTCATAAACCCAAAGCCCTAAACCCTAACCAGACCGAGAGCCGAGACCTTCACGCTTAAGCCCAAAGCTCCAAAACTCCAAACTTCTAAACCCCGAGAGCCCTTAGTTGCTGAGTTCATAGGCACAAAAAAGTGTACACTTTCAGTTCTATAAGGGATTATATTATCCCAAAAGTTTAAAATGTACTCATTCAGCTACTAAGAGCCCAGACCCCTAGAGCCTAAACCTCAAACCCTAAACCCCTAAAGCCCCTAAAAACACCCCCAACCTAAGCCTTATGTACCTTCAGCCCCAAAAATCCCGAACGCTTAAGTTATAGGGCCCCCAAAAAAGCATCTACGCAAAGATGAAGGGGATATCCCACAATAATCCCCTTATATCTATCTGAATCCCAAAATAATAAGGTAGGGATATCCTTGCAACATCCTTATGCTTCTGTCCGTTTTGGGGCTTTGCCGAGCCGACGGAGCCCCAGGGAACAGAAAGACACATCTCACGGATGTGGGGTAGGGGTTTAGGGTTGTTGTTGTTGTGGACGAGAGATGCCCGCGGGCGGTTAAACTGGGGTTGCCCTCTCGCTGGGACCTCACCGCGCAGGTGTAGGGCAGCAAGTCGGGTAATGGTGCTGCTAGGTTCGGCTCAAGAGACTTCTGAGGCATCTGCATGGTCCTTAGCCTGCTGAATCAAAGGCACCTGGTGTCACTCGTCTTGTTTTCTCAAACTGTGTCCAACTGCAGGTACTGCGCTACTCGCGAGGTCGCCCCTGCGACTAGCTTGACCTTCGCTGTGAAAATCTCCACCGATGCCGAAGATTGGCACAGGATCATGCTGAGTTCGCACGATCCACCCATCAAGCGAAACACAGAGCTTCGGATGTCCTGCATGTGCACGCACTGCTCCACGAAATGGCGAATGCCTACGACAACATGGCCGCAGAAGGGGCATGTGGCCAAAAGCGACAGAAACTTTGACCCCTCGTGGGTCAAAATGGGCAAAGCGCACACAATGCGCGCAACTTTCCAAATGCGAACCATGTTCCAGAAGGTGGGCGGCCAAGTTTGCCACCTCTCGTTTGGCTGCCAGGGCAGCAGCACGTGGTCCAAGTGGTTGTACGGGACTATCGCCTCAGAGATCATGTGTTGCAGCTGCTGCTGAAACCATTGCTCCTCCAGCAGCCTTAGTAGGGGCGTGACGCAAGAGTTGCGGTAAGCTTGGAGCAGTTTGGTTTTCTCCTGCTTTGTCAGGTTGTCGAAGTCGGACGCTCCGGCAAATTCCCAAATCTCTGAAAACTCCGAGCTTATTGACAGCATGAGCACTCGTGCATGCTGCCACCAAGTTGCAGGTAAGTGTTGGGCTGCGCGGACTGCTACCCTTGTTGGGTGAGATCTGGGGAGCAGCGCAAGGCGCGCTCTGGTCATCACTACTCTCTGTGCCAGGATTGTGCTGGCTCGCGTCAGGAAGCGACACTCCGCGAAGGCCGCAACGTAACTACCCAAGGACGTGGTAGGCGGCACGCCTAAGCATGCTTTAGCTACAATGTAGTGAGCGTGATTGAGCCTCGAGGACACCTTGGTGAACCCATCGAAATGAGAAGCTAAGAGTTCGCACCCGTGCATGGCCTTGGCAACCACCCTGGTTGAAAACTGGGACGCGATGGCTGGGAGTCCAAAGCCGGCTGCCGTCATGCCCGTGACCAGCCGGATTCCTTCACTTTGGAGCGTTGACAGGACTGCACAAAGCTGTGCTTCCAGGGTGAGCTGGTCATCAATGATGGTGCCCAGTACCTTAACCTGTTCAACTTTGACAGGCTGCTCGCCGCACAGAGTGATGTTCTGGGGACTCATTTGAGAGTCACACATGGGCCCGACCTGCAGCACGCGAGGGCCCTTCCTGCCGCCGGCAAACTTGTGCCGCCAAAGGTGACAGGCCTCAGTAATAACCTGATTCGCGCAGCTTAAGTCGTTCCAGTGCAGGCACAAAAGGAAGCCGTCGTCTACGAACTGTTGGTATGGCATGAATGACTGAGCAGTGGACTCCACGTAGCTTACCTGGAGAGTAGGTGGCAGGTTGCGCAAAGCGCTCCATGCCTTGAAAAGCTCTGCTACAGAGCATTGCTCCTGCTGCACATGGAAGCCTTGTCGACACCAGCTGAGTGCCAGAGCCACATGGTCAGGTACTGTGATGGCTACTCCCTTGCGCTTGTCCGAAACCGCTTTGATGATGGCAGTGGCGAACGTTCCGAAGAGGTGGGTTCCACTTCTTTTGCCTTGACCGATGCTCGTGTGCAGAATGGTGACGACTGCTCCTAACACGGGGCCCAAACGAACCCGGAGCTTTTCCTCCCCTAACATTGCATCCAGAAGCAACCACTGCCAACTCGTGAGGTGGGCTTGCCTTGCGAGGTGTCGCACCGCATCTCTCCAGATGGACTCGTATCCTTGTTCAAGGTCCATGACCTGAAAAAGCGTGCCTAAGCCTTGCGCCTTCCGCGACTGAAGCGTAACCAAGAGGCCCAAAACAACAAGCAGGTGGTCATATCTGCCGCCTGATTGCTGCTGTGTCATGAAGTCTTCTAGGAGCGGTCTTACATGGTGAAGCCAAACGCCGTCCAAAACTGATTCGACGTCATCAACCACGCTTATGGGTCTGATTTGTGCCAAGGAACGCACGAGTCCAATGCCGCGCTTGTCTACTGGACAGATCTCTCGCAGCCACAAATCCGGTAAAATTCCTGCTACTGCGACGATGTTGCAGATGGCCCACAGCAAGAGGTGAAAGCGCGCGGCTTTTGTTTTGAGTGCGGCCCTGGGAAAACGCAAGGCCGTTTTCTGCGAGCCTGAGGCTGAAACAACAGCTGCTACGTCAGCCAAAGAGATGGGATCTCCTTCCAAAGTGGCAAACTCTTGTCGTGCCTCACGCCTGTGGTTAACAACCTCAGCAGCGATGCTACAGTTAAAGCTGGTGTCACCCATTGTCTTACACTGCACGCGATCCAGGAGGTTCTTGGTTAGGGTGGCAATGGCCGTAGATTGGGACAGTTCCTCCCCATCATCACTCAGCAGCACCAAGGTGACAGGGAACTTAGGGTTCAGAAGCCGTGACAGAAAAGCATCTGCCTGCCCATGGTCGCTGTGCCAAAGCGCGGCATGTCTTTGTACGATTTTGGTGTTTGCTTGGGAGCAAGAATCAAACAGGTCTGATTCTTCTTGCAGTCTTTTCTCCATGTCGGACAGGTGAGGGTTGGTAGCGGACGCATCAGCTAGCCAGTTCGCGACAGTTGCAGTGGAAGGCGTCATATTCAAACCCCTGGTGTTGTCCTTGAAAACAACTAAACCAGCTAAGTGCCCAGCTAACATGAGGATCGCCGTTCTCCACCAACAGGCGAGGTTGACGAAGGTGGCACGTAACCCTTTCCATTTATTCGCCACGGTGCTTCCTCGGAGATTCGCGCTTCTCTGCAACACTGTGATCCAAGCCGCCATATAAAGAGCGATGTCTTGAAAAGGAGACATCGCTGCCTCCCAGTTGCCTTTTCTGCTCCACTGAACAGCGACAGGCTTAGCTATCTTCTGAATGGATATCCGCGCCGAAAGGGTTGCAAACAAATGTTTGTGGTCACTGGGGACGGTACGCTCTTCTCTGGGCTGAACATACACGGAGGCTCCTACGGAGGGACTGGTGGCCAGGACATCCAGGGCAGTACCAGCATCTAGGGTGCTGGTCTCTGCAGGGTTTCGGATTGCCAGACCTAAGGCGGAAGCAGCGGTGATGATGGCCTGGATTTCCTTTTCAACTCCTCCTGCATACGGCGCGTTGCCACGACTGAGGCAGGGCAGATGAGCATTGAGGTCACCTGCACAAATTACAGGTGCATTAGCAAATCTGGCGGTGGCCCTAAGCTTGGCCAGTTCACAAACTCGTTCCAAAAAGAACTGTCGCCTTATTTCTGGTGGGCTCATCCTGTGGTGCCCATATGCAGCTAGCAGCAACAGAGGCTGCTGTGCTTGCGACTGCTCGAGGCATAGCCACATAGCTCTTCGATTACCAACGTCTTGAAGGTGCGAAAGAGCGTGGCGAACGCGTTTAGACACCAAGACGCCAACACTGTCAGGGTGAACGGTAGTTTCTCCAAGCCACACGTAATCAAATTGCTCAGGCCACAAGAAGCCAGGCCCAAGCCGGGGCTCACTGAGCACTGCTACATGGGTTCTTTCGTGTTGAAGTTGTGCAATTAAGCACGTGATGCGTCTCAAGCGATGCTTTATGCCTTGGTGGCCTCCTAGCCCGCCTCTGAGGTTCATGACTGCCATGCGAAAAGGCTCTTCTACGCAAGTTGGTCCTGCTTGTTGAGCCGCTTCCGCTGGAATGCCCCCTTGCCATGGCCCATACAGCACTTGCTTTTCCGCCCCTCGGGCGTTAACAGCAGCCGTCCGCTGAATCTGCTGCAAGGAGCTAACCAAGGTTCTGTGTAGCTGCAGGCCCGGTCGCAGCACTTCGGGCAAAAGTTCCTCTGAGAAAGTAAGCCGAGGAGCTTTGCTCAAAATGGCACATATATCCAGAGAAAGGGCTTGCGCTTTCCAGCTGCCTAACCTGCCGTGCGTGCTGTCGTCATAGTCATTGGCTATGCCCAACAGCAACTGATTGCACAAAGCCAGTCTGTGATCTTGCAGTTGAATGAAACACCAATGATCAGCAACCGCATTTGCCTCGCTATCGGTCTCCATGGCTTGAGTGCTGCAACTCCGCAAGATAAGTTAATCACGCATTACACCAAGCAAACACGACTCAACACTCAGAACCAAGTCACAAAAAATGCCTGGCGTAACCACACAATAGCATATGTTGTGAGCAATGAACTCAACATCAGTCTTGTGTTTTGCTACCGCAAAGAACCACCTTGATGCTAGTCCAGAAAGTTACTGTACTAAGACGGCGGGAGCAACGAAGAGCCACCGGACGTTGCCCGTAGCTACTCCCTCGAGCCCTTTCTGAGATGTACCCAAGCGCAGACAGTTATTACTAAGAAAGAAAGAAAGAAAAAAAAATGTGACCACGTGGATGGGCTTCTTCCAGCCCACTCTGAGGCATTTAAAAGGCACAGCTGCTTGCCGAGTTGAACATCGCCCTGGTTGCTAGTTCACGAAGCCGTCGCACCGCAAGAGTCCCATACCATGACTTGCAAAATTGGATTTGGGCTTCAGCTTGCATCCCTTGGGGCTCATAGCCGTCATAGCTATAGAAACCAGAAAACCAAGATGCGGAGGGGCGCAAACCTTAAAAAACCCCTGTTTACCCTGCAAGCAGCCAAGGCGAAAAATCCCATACCATGACTTGCAAAATTGGATTTGGGCTTCAACTAACATCTCCTAAGACTCACAGGTATAGAAAACCAAGAGACGAAGTGCAAGTGATAGCTTGCCGAGTTAAAAACGCCCTGGTTGATAGTTCACCAGGCCGTCGCGCCGCAAGAGTCCCATACCATGACTTGCAAAATTGGATTTGGGCTTCAACTTGCATCCCTTGGGGCAAACCGCAATAGAAAACCAGAAAACCAAGATGCGGAGGGGCGCAAACCAGGGCTTAGGGCTTATAGGGTTTAGGGCCTAGGGCTTAGGTTTGGGTCCCCATAATAAGAAGGGAGTTCCTTCTAAAGAGGACCCCCCCCCAAAAAAAAAAAAAAACAAAACAAAAAAGGGACTCTACTTTCGAGAACTGCCCCCTGTGGACTTCGGGTTGAAGCTTGGTGTTGAGGGTTTCGGGTTTCGGTCGCGGCGCTTACACCCTAAGGCGAAGCCTCTGATACCGAGGTCTCAAAATTTAAGGTCAAAGAGGATGGGGCTTTGGGGTCCCTTACAGTATAGTTCTACTCAGGGGCTGTAAGGGAAGACGAGTGGTCCCTTTTAATCGACCCCCCGCAGGTACACTAATCTCAACAAAAGTTAAAGTTAAAGAGGATGGGGCTTCGGGGTCCCTTACAGTATAGTTAGTATAGTTATGCTCAGGGGCTGTAAGGGAAGACGAGTAGCCAAGTATATTAAATGCTCAAACTCATTCGGACACGATCGTCGGAGGTGCAGAACCCGACGCCACCGCCGACTGCCCGTCTCCGTGTTGGGTCCATGCCGGCGACGACGACCATTGCCCCTAAGCAGATCTGGCGTGCCACGCCGACGCCGACCTTTGTCCCTGATCGGCCGACGACGCCGACCATTGGGACCAATCCTGCCAGCCGACCCAGCTGGAGATAGACCCCGGGCAGCCCCAGCTCATTGTTGAGCCTCAGTCGGCCAAAGACCCTCACAAGAATCCAAGGCCAACGAGACCTCAGATGGAAAGCGAGCACAAAAGTTCCGGTGACTAGTAGCGCGTACGGAGCGACATCAACACCGCAGGATGTTGAGAGGATAGCTCTTCAGGTTCTTGTGGAATACTCACTAGGCCCTAAGCCCTAGCTTTACGGTAGCTCCGTCGGTCCGTGGTCACAATCATAGGTGTACTGTAGACATTAAGGAGATTAGACCAGCCGAGCAAGGAAACTACCATGAGAGATAGAATGCTTCTTTGGATGATAATTGTTCCTTGGCAGCCAATGGTCCATATTTCTTGGTTATAGACGGTTATCTGTCTAAAAAAGAAAACAAGCGTAGCGCGTGTTTCTTTTCTTTGAACTACAACACGGCCCTTGTGTAATTTGCTATTTGCTATGTTATTGGTTCCGGTTCTTTCCCGCCTTCATTACCTTCGTTCCTCATTCCATTGCAGAAGAACAGTGAACAAAGGAAAGCAATGAAACAAGGGAATCAAGAACAAGGTTTAGCCGAGCAGGCATCGACGGCAGTAAACCTTTTGATAAAACATCCAAAAGACCATTAAACACGATAATGGCAACAAGCCCCAGTAAAGCAAACAAAAACCTTATTCACATCCCAAGAAACCTAGATTAAATACAACATTAAACATTAGACCCGCCCATTCACCCCAAAAAGCTAACCTAAGACACCTCCATAAACGCGCACACATTAAGCCACTGCCCCAAACCAAACAAAATAAAACAGGCAACCTATAAACCCTAAACCCTAAACGCACTTAGCCCTAAACCCTAAAAGCCCTAAACCCTGAACCCTAAATCCCTAAACCCTAACTTACACCCTAAAACATTCCAAGGGTCGGTGTTTCCGGCACCTCCTCTTCCGGCTTCTTCGAGAGGTCCTTGACGGTTAAGGTTTAGGGTTTAGGGTCGCTCCAGGGGTTTAGGGCTTAAGGTTTAGGGTTGAGGCTCCAGGGGTTTAGGGTTTAAGGTTTAGGGTTGAGGGTTTAGGGTCGCTCCAGGGGTTTAGGGTTTAAGGTTTAGGGTTCAGGGTCTCTCAAGAGGGGGGTTTGGGGCATTGGGGAATCTGAGGCTGGGCAGCCAGGGTTTAGGGTTCAGGGTTCAGAGTTTGGAGCAATGGGAACCGGAGACTTTGGGTTGCGAGTTTAGGGTCAGGGCTTCTGGGATGAGGATACTTAGGGTTTGGGGTTGAGGCTTAGGGTTTAGGGTCCAGAGCATGAGGTTGAGGTCTGGGCTTGACGCTAAGGGTTCAGGGGTTGGGTTTTCGAGTGTTGGCTTTGGCATCAGGGTCTAGAGTCTGTAGGGCCTTTACTTCAAGGATCACTGCGAGGAGTAATCAACAACCATTGTATCTCATTTGGGTTTATGGGCAGGCATAACTATACGTATACTACCCATAGGCCCCTAAGTAGTTCCTTCTTGTGGTTTATATTTAGAATCCTATAAGGTAATCCCAAAAAGGAACTACTTAGGGGCCTATGGGTAGTAGAGTTTCCAGACTTATCACCCTGCTCACTACGCCTCCCTGTTCCTTCAAGCAGGACCGCGAGGAATCTTGCCGATTGCGCAGGGTTTCCGGCGTTATGACATGCCAGACCTGTACTTCGATCAGAGATCATCTACATGCGTGTATATATATATATGACTACATGATATGTATATATATATACACATGTACACACACAGACAAATTAGCGGCCGGACTCCCCTGAGTAAAGTAGTTGATAATAAAATGTTGAGGAACCCTATTCAACTTATTCAGGTCACGAAAGATGCAACCAACACTTTCATCGAGGCCGAACACGCTCGTTCTGTGATACACTGCTTCGCTGTTTGGGTGTCGACCTTTATGAGTCCTGTGATCTCGAGGCCCAGCCACTCTGCCTCGATGGGCTGTTTTGGGTTCTATAGTAGGGTTCTATAATAGGGTTCTATAGTAGGGTACAAAAATAAGGTTCTATAATAGGGTTCTATCGTAGGGTTTTGGGGCTTCAGACGGGCGTACAAGGGTTTGATCCTCCTGGTGCCCCCTCAACCGTGTGACCACCAGGCTTTCAGACGGTCTGTTTTCATACAGACTGGCCCCTTGCACGAAACCTTACTCGCTGAATCCCTGAACTTTCCGACACAGAAATCTTTTCGGGCCAGGTGGCGACTTTGCGTGCCGTCCGCCCCTCAATCACAGCCATTCGCGTGAGTATGGTCTTGCCAGCCTTTTCCTGGTGTGGGTTGTTTAGCGTAGACCCTACAGGAACCCCCGTCGTCAAGGGCCTTGATCTTACAATCCTTCAAGTGGCACCCCACCTATGATAGAACCCGCTATAGAACCCTATAGTGCGCAACTCTAGCACCCTCTTTTAAAGGGGGACCCTGTTGTAGAACCCCACAGCACCGATTAAAAGGGCAGGGGCTTTCACCAATCAGAGCTGCGGTCCTGGTTCGAGCTGCCGGCTTGGCAGGTTTGCTTGGGCCGGACCCCTCTGGTTCCCAGAGAACCCAATACCCCTTAATGAAGGAATATACTTTAAATCATGATATTAAGGCCACCGTAATTTAAGGGTATATTCCTTAATTGAGGTGTATTGGGTTCTCTGGGCTTGCTTGGGCCGGACACCTCTGGTTTCCCATAAGAGTAGATTTTCGGGCCTGCACCGTAGTTTAAGGCGATTATGGCTTGGGGCGATCGTCAATACAGCCACATGGGGCTGTAAAGGGACACCATTGCTGCTTACACATTCTTGACGGGAACGCACGGCAAAGCTGATACCGAAAAGATGGAGCTAACGATGAGCTTTACAGCTCCTGGCGCATCGAACCCAGTTCGCGTTACGCAGACCGTTTTGCTAACCTTCAATCCCGAACCTTTTTATCAACCGTATGATGAAACCCCTAGAGCACCACCAAAGAAACCTTTCTTGAAGTCTTACAACCCCCAAAACCCCTTTACACAACCCAAACAGGATTCTAAACCCCACACCCTAA